AAAACCCCCGCATGTTTAATCGCATAATCAAGGATTTTAGCCCGCATAATCAAGGAATTTAGCCCGCATAATCAAGGATTTTTGCCCGCGTTTTTCTGGAGGGTCTAACTGTACTTAATGTTACTCTGATCCGGTTATTTATGTTGTGGCAGATATTTAAGTAAGCGTTCTTAACGCTAATGTTATAATAGTCAGATTGCGCTGAAGATGGGAGGTGATATTCTATTAATTTTCACGTTCACACAGTCAGTAACGGCAACGGCAGTTTTTCTGTATTTCCTTTCTCCTGTAATATGACTTGATCGCTTTAAACTCCGCAGCTCTGATTGGTCAGCAGGCAGTNTGAAGATGGGAGGTGATATTCTATTAATTTTCACGTTCACACAGTCAGTTGATTTTTGCCGGCCGTCTTTCCTGCAACGGCAGTTTTTCTGTATTTCCTTTATCCTGCAATATGACTCGATGGCTTTAAACTCCACACACTGAGCTCTGATTGGTCAGCAGGCGCTTTCACTGAGTTGATCTCTTATCCTGGAACCTAACCTGCTCCGGACCAGGCTAGCCATTCAGCATAAGTTACCATGGAGATCTAGCCCGCTAAGAAGTGAACCAGCGTCGTACAGTAGGACCGGAAACCCAGAGTTTCCCCTGAAGTTAGCTCGCTAAGCGGAAATCCGGCTTCGTAGTACAGGCCTATGATCAGTGGTTACAATACCACACAAAGTTACAGATGGACAGGACACTAAACACAGAGACAACAATCAAATAAAACATCGTCAAAAGTAGTCATTCTCCAGTTTGTTTTTTTCACATATGAGCCCTTTGACATTTACTTATGAGTAAGTTTTTTAAACCATTGTTGTAAAAATGATTATTATCACAACATTTTTGAATTTGGACAAAGACAAGATTTTACACTGATAACACTCCATTTTGATATTTCCTTGAGTCGTAAACTGTTTTTGTGTCTGTTTATAAAAAAAATAATTATTTTTCCATTTGTGAGAACATTTGTCCCTGAAAGCTGGTCTCAGTGTGCGTCATGGCTTGTGTTTGTTAATTAGAGCAGATCTAGGACAGTAATGACAAAGTAAGCATGAACTTGCGTGTGTGGTTATGTATTAATTTCTGGGCTTGTAGACTGGGCTTGCTGATCGGAGTTATACAGGGTTTAGGTGGGAGTGAATCTGTCACATGGCAATTCTCTGGCAGAGCATGTGTCTAAATCAACAGTTGCTGTAATGAAAAGAGCAGGTGGCTTGCCATTTTATTCTCACTTACTGTAAATGGTTCCTAGACCAGTGTTTATTGAATATTCAACGCCTTCTGTTACACTTTCATAGACATCAGAGCTAGGTTCAGGAAAATACAGAGGGGCTTGAGGACATTTTTATTTCTAACATATATTTAAAAGCGTTTTCATGTGAGGCATTTAGGGCATCTGGTTGCCATGCTATTCAATGATTGGAATAGGTTATTAAAAGTTAAAACAGCAAGTCTCTTAATGGAATTACACTAACATAACATAACTTGATTATTTGTTTTCTTCCATACGAAGAAGACAAGTGTTTTGCATTTGCGCATTGTGGTAGGTAACCTGTGTTTATTGAGAGCACTGTGGCTTGACAGCAAGAATAAAGGCTGCTCCGCTGCTTTCAGACAGGCCCCTTAAGTAGCAAACCTTGTCGGCATGACTCCACATCAGCCCTATTGATGAACAAGTGCGAAGCGGAAGGCAATTCTGCATGGACCCGTGGAAGGACGGAAAACTCTTTCATAGTCATTTAAGCACAGCACTTGACGTAGAAAAACCCATGACTTTTTTCTACACTATTTATCCCACTCCATTTTCTTTAACCTGCTTCATTGTTAAAGTATGACTCCTACATAGTACATAGAAACTGGTGTGTGGTTGTACAAACATCATGCACACCTATTCTGAGACATACTGATGTAAAAGTATCACCCTGCAGTCACACTACATTACATGTTACTTGTTAGACGCTTTTATTCAAAGCAATTGACATACCCAATACTCTAGGCAATCCTCACAGGAGCAATTTGGGGTGAAGTATCTTTCCCAGGGACACAACGACATACTGACTGCAGTGGGGTTTGAACCTGTGCTCCCCTTATCCGAACACCAATGCACTAGTCCACTGCGCCACAATGTTTACTGTTGTGAAGTAACATTTGAACCACAGAAATAGTGTGGCTCACTAATGTGTTCAGTCCTTTTGAACATAAATGGTGTAATAAGTCATATTATACTATGTATTGTCTACACATGAACAGGTTGAAGGTAGGATACATTCATTTTAGTTTTTTTTATTCAATGAAATTTCATGACAGTAACGAAAATATTGGAGTAATCCAGCCTTATCTTTATCACATTGCCTTTCTTGATGGACTTCCCTTTCCGATTCAAGAATATGTTTCTAAAGCATTGCATTCGTGAACTTTCAGTTTTAGCATTGGTTTGTGTGATATAACTTACTTAATGAACGAGTGCATCTCAAGGGGTATATATGGGTTTATCCCAATAAATACAATTTCTATATATAATAACTTAAGTGTCAAGTTTTTTTTTCTAATTGCTGCTAAACACATGCTAATCAGAAGTATTCAGACTTCCAGGTTTCACTTTAGTTGTCACAGCGGAAAGCCCTGTCGCGTTGAGTTCAGAACAACAAGAGCAAAGCTCCTGTTGCCTCTATTGACAGCAGGGAAACCAAGTGTGACTGATGTGCAATTAAATGGCTGCTCACTAAAAACAAAAAGTACTATTAGGCGGGGAAACGTTTAATTATGAGCTTTACAGATAGTAAGAGAAAGCACTAAAAAAACATAACTTTTTAAGGCTAAGGTATTTATAAATAGTCTCTGTTCTAACCAAATAACATTTATCATCGTGGTAGTGATGTCAGTTTCTCACCTCCTAATGTCTTTGGATGAACATGTTGTAATAAGCATACTGTATGTGCATTAGGGACCAGCCTCAGTACTTCAGTAGAAAAATTGTACTGTACAACATGGATAAATATGTATATATATATATATATTCCCTTTAATGTCTTGGAAATTCATCTTCCCATTTATTGTGTTTTCTGACCAGAAGGAGTACATTTTGGGATCCAAACTACACATAACTTACTTCTGAGTTTTGAAACACTACATCTGACCCTCACACATATATGTTCTTCATCTCTCTCCCCACGCATCACCTCTGCAAATCTCTCACACCCCCCTGGGGAAGCCACATGTCCTAATATGAGATTGTCAAGTGAGATGGGAAATAAAACTATTAAATTCAGTTGTTACTTAAATATAGTAAGTAGTTTTAGAAAACAGTAGTGTCATTCAGTTTAAAGCCATATTGTATAAATGTGTGTACCATGCTGTATTTGCCATTGCGTCTTAATTTTAATCTGCTCTCTTTCCAATGTCTCTGTAATGAAGCAGAAATAAGAACTGTATTGAAGAGTGCCATAGTTAAAGAAAAACAGCAAAAGAGGTCAGTTAGAAGTCAACAAATAAATAACCGGCTTGCTAGTGTTGACACTTTAGGAAAGGTCAGTCTTAGCCTGCTTATTAATGCAGCATCAGTGTAAGGTGTGACTTCTGTGTTGACAGACTGCCACACTCTGATAGTGGATTGCCCTCATCTTAACACCAGAGTTCACATCATCCTCCTGAATTATCCATCAGGAGCAATTTTCATTCATTTAAGGCAAAATTATTCAGCGGGAAAAAATAAATCCCACCTGTTTCTCTACTGGACTGGACAAATATATTCCTGAAACGCTGACACAAGCACTGAGGTTAGAGGGAGTTTCAGAGAGGGCTGAGAAAAGTCAGGCAGCAAACCAGGCTGTAATGAAGGCTGCTTCACATTGAAGGACAGAGGGGGAGAGATAGAGAGAGTTTCAATGGGCTTGGCAAAGTAATGGACCATATTGTTTATTTACATCAACAGGGAATGTGTGGGAGAAATTGACTATTAGTCAACAACACAATAGGGAACGATTGTGTTATGTCTGCATCAAACTGGCCTGGGGCAGCAGTGTGTGTGTGTGTGTGTGTGTGTGTGTGTGTGTGTGTGTGTGTGTGTGTGTGTGTGTGTGTGTGTGTGTGTGTGTGTGTGTGTGTGTGTGTGTGTGTGTGTGTGTGTGTGTGTGTGTGTTTGTGTAAGGGGGCCAGCAGTGTGAAGTGCAGTTAGCAGTGATGCCAGGCAGGACTGGCAGTGCAGTGATAATGCCCAGGGAGAAGCTTCCCTCTGCCTCACTGGCTGCTCTATGAGCTGGTAGCTTCACCCAGGCTGAATTCAGTGCCACTGACTGAGGGGAAACTGGATGCTGGTGGCAGCTCTCCCCTTATTTACTCTGCTCTTCAAAGTCCTTGTTGGGAAAATACTGAATGTACTCTTCAATTATCAGAGTAGCACATGATAACAATGGCCCTACTTAGCTGTGTACATAACAGGATATGATGGCCTAGAAGAGCATCAGGACATTCTGTTTTAGGCATATGATAGCTTTGTGACAATGATAAACATGATGATTCACTGGAAAAATAATGGTGTTTTCACTTGAAATAAGTACAAAAATCTGCCAATAGAACAAGTGAAAATGTGCTTGGTAAGATTCCTTGAAGATGGGATATTTAGATGAATCAGATCTTGTAATTAGCTGGGAGAACTTATTTTGAACTATATTTGACCAGAATCATGAAATATTGTTACAAAATAAGCCGCAAATGCTCAAAAGTGTTCTGTTTTCTGATGTTACAGTAGTTGGTGATTTTCCAATAAATATGTAAAAGGAACGATAGCCTTGTAGTGGAATCGGAATGAGCTCCCCATTGAAATCAGGACAGCAGAAAGCTTACACATCTTCCGGCGTAGACTGAAAACTCATCTCTTTCGATTCCACTTCGAGCGATAGAATTACTAACAAAGAATTGCTAACAGAGCACTTATATACTAATAAAGGACTGGCTTATCTAAAACCAATTGAGTAGCACTTGAAATGTTTGGCTCTATGAAACCTGATGTACTTATATGATTCTGTTTTCTTCAAGGTTGTATCTTGTTGGTCGAATGCACTTATTGTAAGTCGCTTTGGATAAAAGCGTCAGCTAAATGCAATGTAATGTAGTCGGCCAGAACCAGCCATTTCCTCCTCCAGAAAGGAGACAATCTCCTCCAAGTCCGCTTCTCAAGCCACTTATGAAACTACGACTTTATTCTCGAAATTATGACTTTATTCTCGTATTATTACGACTTTATTCTCGAAATCTCTGTTTTGTTTTTTTCTAAGTGTGGTCCTAATACTCCGTCGTAGATAGGGGCCATAACTATATACGTAAATAATGCCTTGAATTCCTTTTTGCAATTAAATAGTAGGTACAAACAATTTTAATTTACTTTTAAAAGGCGTTTTTTTACTCGCTTTTTGTGAACGTCAGTAAGAGGCACTCAAATACAACTGGTCTTAGCATAAGGGGCCCTATCTCATAAAGAAGGAGAGAAGATGGGCAGCCATTAAACACAAGTCCTGGAGGGATGTATTCATATCACAGCTTGCTGTTTAACTTGCCATCCCTCTCCACCCCAGCCCACAAGACAAGGAAATGAGCTGTGCATTTCCACACACTGTGCTGCTGAATGTCCTAGTTAGGACCGTTTAATATTAATGGCTTGAAGAAAGGTGTTGTTACAAAATGATGCTCACAGTGTTTAAGCAGCTGATGCAGTGTTCTTAACCCACTGGGAGCTTAGTGGGCCATGGCTGACTCCTGGAAGGCTTCCAGATGGAATAATAGGGCCAAACGGTTTGATAGCACGAGACCTGAGGAGGCTTTCTCCTATTCCCTTTTGGTCCATTTGCTTCACTGTATGATTTTTTTTTTCACAGTTGAAGGCCAGTGGGACCAAGTCAGAACTGCTGGTACTAGGAACAAATGATAAAAAGTGTTATGTCCATTCATTGTTGATTGATCTGTTTGCTTCTTGACACATTTCCTTTTTTTCCTTTAAAACTCAAGCTTCCACAAACCCCCATAGAAATCAGAATGTTGAACAGCATCTTCAAGGCACATTGCAGAGAAATGTAATTAGTGTTACAGAATGCTGGAGCCGTAATATTTTGGTTAAGATTTCAACATAAGAGACTGTGGTTCCTAAAAAAAAATCCAATTTGGTAGAGAATTTAAATTTCCAACCTATTTGGGAAACCACTTAAAACCAGATGGTATTGGTATTTGCCAATAATGCCTAAAATAGGGCCCAGATTATTTTATTCCTTCAAATTGATGTGGCTCTGTGACAAATATGTTGTCTTATTGGCTCTATTTTCTGTCATCATATGATTAAGTATCCTTTCTGTCAGCAACAGTAGCTTTCCATTCATTCTTTTATCATCTCAGATGATCCAGTATTAACCTCAAACAAAGCATGCAAAGAGGACTGAGTCTGATTTTTGTTTTGAATTCATTTATTTCATTCCTTCATTACAGATTTACTATTGCCGTCTGACATATATTTGGGTGTCTTAGAATGAATTATGTATCAAATGTTTGCTGTTGGTTACACACATGTATGTGTCCTGTAAATCATCCAATGTCTGTACACACAACAAGGATCTGAGGCAGAATCCCAAGGGGGCAGTTCACCCTAAATTAAAAATACATATTACTATTTGTCAATTCAGATTGTTAGGGGCAGTGTTGGATAAATTGTCCGTAGAGATGTGAGCCTTCTTTGGTAAGTTAGGGATCCAGATAGTGCTTGGTTTAAGGTTCACAAAAAATACATTAGAAAAACTCAGGAGAGCCCCTCATTCGTGAGTAAATGCGCGCTTCCTTCTGTGCGGTGATAGGGTATAAAAATAGTTCCTGCTTACATCAAGGATTTGGTGTTGTGTCATGATTTATGTAAAAAAGGACATCACTCTGGAGTTTTCAAATGTGCTTTTGGTGGTTTGAGCTCCACAAGCAAAGTATTATCTACTTCCATAATATTCTAGAGAAGGCAGACAAGGTGTAAGGTGAATATTGTCACTCAGAATCTCACAAAAGTAAATGTATTTTTAACTGAAATGTCCCACAAATGTCATAAAAAGGATGTCAACGATTTGGCCGAATGTCAAAGATCATAAATGTGTGCTCTTAACTGTCACTCAGCCAGTCACTGAAATCATATGTTAAACAGTGGCCTCAGTTTCCCAAATTCTACATGAATCATATTTCATCAACATGCTTTATTTATATAGATCACAACTGGATTATTGTCAGATGGCTGGTAGAATTGAAAACTAAACTCCAGAGTGATGAGACCTAATACAACTACTGCTTCTCTTTGAGAAACAATTCTCACTTAAGGTATTATAGCTTTATTTTCTCGTCTTTTGAACATATTTTCCTTGTGCTTCTGTTCCATTCAGTGCCCTGATTCAGCATGCAAGCAGGATCTGCTGGCCTACCTGCAGAGAATTGCCCTGTACTGTCATCAGCTCAACATTTGCAGCAAGGTGAAAGCTGAGGTCCAGAATCTGGGAGGAGAGCTCATCGTGTCCGGGGTAAGCATGTCCATACTAAACAGCACGTGACCAGCTCTACTCACACTCATGCTCCCTAGATAGGCTTTTAGGCTTGAAACACTAGACTAGGTCAATTTAAGACATGTTTTATGCTCTGCACTGCTGGTGGGCAAACCTCTTAGCTCAAGGTCACGATGAAGCTTGGAAGACCAGATGAAGAGTCATGCAGAATAACACTGATGCAATTATTTCAGTCCGATTAGTATCTAATAATACTAGAAGGATGCTCTGCAGGCTTTTTTCCATTTGTATTTTTCATGCCTCGTGAACCCTATTATCCCTGGTCAAACAAAAATCTGTCAATTATCCCACATTGCTTGCATTTGACATTTAACTGAACTAATACATTTGTGCTCTATTATCCATTTCAAAGCTTTTAGTTTTAATGAAAAAGTATTGATTAGCTTGAGCAGAATTGTCCTTTTCAACTTTGTAATATTTCATTTGTACTTTTGATCAAATATATACAGTATATTCCCCCTGTAAAGCCGATTGTTTTCCTATGCAAAGAGTTAATAAGTCCATAAAGCAGGCAGTTAGTGGAAGTTATTTTATTTCAGAGGTGAGGTTTTCCTGCATAATGAAATGATCATGTGGTAAACTATAATTAACTTAAATTGTATTTATATATCAGTATACATGCACACATTTGCCTTCAAGGGTTTTAAGACTCTTAATAGCATAAAATACACTTTATCTAGACCCTCAATTAAGATAAGAAATCAACTGTAGGTGATGGTAAATAATATTATTGGGTATTTATTAAATGCATCCCCTCAGACTCATGATGGCAGTGAAAGATTCAGAAGGGTAGGACTGCTGCCAAAGCAGCTTAGAGTAAAAAGTATGTACAATACTATAAACAGGTATACTCTCAATAATTATAGCATTATGGTTGTGACATTTTTAATGACATTTTTCAGCTATACTTGTTTTTTGTTGTGGGAGTTATTTTTTTATTTTGTATTATGTGAGTTGTAGTTGGATCTTAAAGGTGGGGTAGGTCATTTTAGAGAAACCAGCTCGAGTGCGCTAGAATTTGAAAATACACAGCCGGAAAAAATCTGCCACTTCCTTACAGAGCCCCTCCTCCAACACACACGAACGCGCACATGACCATTGAGGGCATGAGATAAGTTTGTGCACAGATGGAAGGCTGACAGGCAGGTAGGCCATCCAGTTATTTTAGCCGGGCCGACTAAAATGATTGGTCGTGCTTTTTACAATACTACGGCTTCCACAGATGACATTTTTTTATGGATTTTTTGTCAAAGCACTTAAGATATTCATTGCTATCGGGATGTTAAGAGCATTCCATGGAATATAACAAAAAGTGTATCTCGAGCCGGTTTCTCAAACGTACCTACCCCACCTTTAAGATTGTTTTTTTTTATATGTTAATTGTCTTTAGGATAACAATGTTTGTCTATTTGACGAATTGTACATCAGTAAAAGCAATCAATCAAAACCCCAGAAAAAAAACTCTTGAACAACCAGAGAGGAACAAGGAGAAACTTCAGGAAGAGCAACAGACGGATAGACACACACTACACTGTGAGGGATTTCCTATCAGGAGAGATAAAGGGAAATTGATGCATTAGTAAATAACTTCCCAAATAACTACATTGGTATGATTTCTTCCTCAAATGAAAATCTCACATGACTTTTATCTTTGCTTTGGGCTTCCTTATATTTTGTGTTGAAGCACTTCTTCATAATATCTCAGGACTCTCTTATAATTTGTCTCACATGAGATATGCAAGAATGCATGCTGAGATATTAACCTTTTCATGGTGGCCAGCTGGAGTCCACGCTCATTAAATAAGCTCTCGTCTCAGTGTGTGGTACGAGGCGGCCCACTGTCCGTCGACCCTTAAATGTCAGCCAAACAAAACAGGCGGAGACAGAGGAAGACCTGACCCCTGCCTCTGCTAATTAAGACCTGCTAAAATAAGATGTCACATAGCAAGGGCCACGTTTTTAATCTGCTTAATTGCCAGTTGGAGCAAAGACCTCCTAGGTTTCAGAGAGCTAATATCCTTAGTTATTGTTAAAGGCCTGAAAGTCATTGCACTTTTTCTCTACATTGCACACTTGTACCCTTATGTTGTCTCTCTCTTTCTCCCCTTCCACTCTCTTTGCCTTCATGTAGCTGGATAGTGCCACTTCCCTCATCCAATCAGCCAAGAACCTAATGAACGCAGTGGTGCTGACTGTAAAGGCATCTTATGTAGCCTCTACCAAGTACCAGAAGGTGTACGGAACAGCGGCTGTCAACTCACCCGTGGTGTCCTGGCGCATGAAAGCCCCTGAGAAGAAGCCTCTGGTAAAAAGGGAGAAGCCCGAGGAGTGCCAGACACGGGTGAGACGAGGCTCCCAGAAGAAACACATCTCCCCTGTCCAGGCCCTCAGCGAATTCAAGGCCATGGACTCCTTCTAAGATAAAAAAATTAAAGTCATGCTTACCCCAGAAAAACAACAAAACATGACGGTGACAAGTTAAAGAAAAAGTCCCTTTTTACATTGTGTTAACCCACCTCTGTTTGCCCCGTGTGTGTTTGGTGACACCTCAGGAGGACTACAGTACATATTAAACTGCCACACTGCGGCTCCTGTGAACACTGCGGGCCTCATGGCTCGCAGACAGCCAGCACACACAATACACTATTTATCAATATTAATGTAGCTTATTATGTGAGAGCCAAAATGTGACACAACTACTTTAGAAGATATAAAGTTGAAAAAAAGAAACATATCAGAAGAGGAAGAGGGGCATTTAAAAATATGTGGCAGTTGACATTTTAGCTATATCTTTAACGTGCTAATGACTGGCTGCTTGTATACACATTTAAACTGTCTGAATGGAAATCCTGAATGGTGCAGTAGAGGAGTTATCTAAAGGGATTATGTCAATGTTGGTATGCTCCCACTTGGTATGTTTATTTCAATTTGAATGTAACCTGTAGTGCTAGGAATAATGTATGTTTGAGATACCTGGAAGGGTTGGCATCCAAGTAGTTTCCTTGTCCCTGATGATTATAATAATAACCCATATAGTGTTTTTTTCGAGAAGCACACGTATGGTCTATTGTAATGCCTTTTTAAATTCAATTTATTTAATGATTACATCACTAACTATGATGACCTTTATTGGAAGTTGTGTAGCGTATAAATATAGACAGAGAGGTTTGAATAGTTGTGGTTTGCTCAGAGAATAGAAATCCCTGCATACAGTACCTTTATATTCACCCTTCTCTAATAAATCTCTCAACTTGACCCTCAATCTTTCATGTGTCTTTCTTACCGTCACATTTCCAGCAGAACATGTCAATCTGTGAGTACACAGTAACAGCAGGGAAGCCTCTTATTAATCTGAAGGATCTAAAATAATCATTAGAGGTTTCCATCCAAGACCAGCAGATGAAAAGATTCCAGAAGTGGAAAGAAAATCTATTGGTACTAAAAGCTTACAAGAATAGGCATATTGATTTAGGGTCACAGGTCAAGTCCCATTACTTCACTGTGACTGAGATAATTGGTCTTAGGTCAGCACTCTTTCTGCTATCTTTGTGATATTTTACCAGGTCCTCCACTCAAACAGTCTTACTTACACTCTGAACCGAACTATCACAAATCCACTAAAAGCTTAAAAGTTGACATGTACTTTATCACTGCATGTACTTGATGTATTAGCAGAATATTTGGTAAAATAATTCATGGTTCCCAAATGATATATCATACCAACTTGACCAACTGACTTTGCTATGGCACCATAATAAGATTGCATTAAATTGTTATTTAAAAGTCTTAATTAACATAAAGTGTGTTGCTTGGCAATTGTGGTTGACGCATTGATGTTTACCTCTAAATTAATTGTAACATATAATGATTCCATCTTGCCATCAAACAGCAGCATTTTAGCATCATGTGAGCATTTCATTCAGTTAACATTCAGCTCATAACAAACTCTTCACCATGTTATTATATTTCTATAAAATGAAGTTTCTCTGTTAAATTGTCATCCATCTAATGAACAGTTAAAGCTTTATCTATTGCTCATGGTCTCAAAGTTAACTGCTGAGTCAAGGGATATAAGCCGATATTGACCACTGAAGTCCCCGTCAATCTCTCTTAAGCCCACTGAGCTGTTGAGGGAAAGAAAGGAGGGGTGGGAAAAAGAGGAGCCAGATAGCTGGGATTCAACAGACGCCTGACACATCGCCAGTCAGCAAGACAAGAAACCCCAGGATGCTCTGAACTCTGGATGTAAAAGTTAGAGATCTCTAAAGGCCAAGACAAATCATTGTGGATACTATAAATGTGAAGTTGGTACAGCGTGTCTGTTACTTGAAAACCACAGAGATCTGCCTGAAACCACCCTTTCAGTTAATTAATTAATTTTAAGAGACAGTACAATGTATTGCTGTTAGAGCGGCTCTATCAAGCCCCAGAGGCACACCCTGCCATTAAAACAGGGAGGGTAAATCAATTGATTGCTTAACACGACCTTGATCCCTCATGAATCACATCAAAAGCATCGACAAGCACAATTGTCCCAATAACAGCTCACCGGACACTAGTTTAGATAATTCATCAATGTAGTCACTGATAATGATTAAGGCTCTTTATGTATCCACATTATCCTGCTAATAGCTATTAAAGACAACATGCATCAAGCATCCGTGCATCACTAAAGTACCCTGAGTTTAGGAAACAAGTCCACACGAGAGGAGTTGTAACACGGTCCAGTTAATGAGGGATTAATTCCTGGCTGTGGTGCTGTCTATCGAGTATAATCCTCATGTGTAGCCATTGGTATCGCCCCAATGAAACATGACATCATGGCTGACAGCCTGCTCTCTTTGAAAATTAAAAAGAAATAATTAAAAAGAAATAATTACGGTTTGCAGAAATGTCACTGCTGTGTAGGATATTAGAGATGTCTTCATGGGATGAGCTGTATTAAAAGGATTAAAACAGAGTTCTAATCTAGTTAAAAAACCTCCCTCTAACTATAAAAATAGACTGAGAGGAAACTGAAAGTCCCCGAGGCAGAAGGGTGATGAACAGGATACAACCAGCTGCTGCAATATGTTTTTTGGCTTTCAGTCCCTGGTGTCAGATGCCTTCTGACCCTAAACACACTCGAGACTCTGCCATCTGCACAGATGGACACCAGCGCTGTAAAGGGACCTTTTTTTATGGCTGCAGATGTTTCATAATGCATCATGAAAAATCAAATCACAGAAAGCTGACTTGATTGCTATGTCTACAGCAGAGCATATAGACGCAGCAGCCAGTCACACTGATGAATTTCGCTTTTTTATTTGTATTTAATTGTTGTCTTTTCATATTTTGTTGACACTTTTTGCTTGTAGACATGTGGCAGGGATACACTCTGAAGAAAGCGTGGTGATTGGATTATGTTCAGCGGACCTTGAGACGATCACTAACCACAGACTTTCCAAGCACCGAGCCAGTGAGCCATTCCTGCCGGTAAAACATTCCTGAGACTGGAGTGAGCGCCCAGGAGGAGAGGGAAGACAACCAACAGTGGAGTTAAGCTAACCCAGTTAGGGCCTTAGGCCGCTCCATACCCGCCTTGCATCTGGCACATGTCCGGTTGCAGGAAAATAAGACTCGACTAACCCAACAACATTGGTGTGGCACGTTTCCTGCCTTTGATCTTTTCAGTTTTTTCATGTGTTTTGTATGTAGAAAAGTGGCGAACCGTGTCTATCACAACTGGACCTTCTGTAGACACACACCCCCCC